ACTAACCATAATCACACACAATCTCCCACCAGGGAGGGCAGATAAGAAATGTTGCCAATAAATAGTTTTATTTGTATGAATTTATGTGTCTTTTATCAGATTTTACCCAAACTGCCGCTGCAGCCAAACTCTCACTCTGAACTCAGTTCAAAACTTGAGAGCCCCCCTGCTGTGAGTCATGACTGTCGACAATGGGTGTAACACCCGAGTCCCCACTGTCTGTGATGTTTTCAGAGTTTTCAGAGTTCTATCTTCAGTTTGTTTACATCGCCCGGACGGCTTGCTGGCTCCTCCCCTCGTGTATAAAAGTTGTTTAATTGAGGGACTAGAGAAAAGAAGAATAACATACTGTACTCACTGCTTAACTGTGTTTCTAGATCATTTCAGGTAAATTTACATGCAGTGTGAAGATACGAGCATAATAAAGATTGCTAGCATTAGCATGCTAACACAACAATGCACCGCGAGTTGTATTGGTTTCATGCTGGTGCTCAAGGGCGACATCTGCTGGATCAAAAAATCGCATATAAAGCCTTTAAAGGAATCTTCCCTGCTTCAATGACTACATGGATTGAAAATTAATGAAAGTTGGAAACACAGAATTTTTTTTTACATGAGTTTTTTTTTTAAGTGCTTTCTTTGACAGGAGATGACAGAAATAAGAAATGAGTGTATCTTAATTTTGTAGCGTCTATGTGTCTGTGTTAATGTATATTGTGGGAAAGTAAAAAAAAAAAAAAAAAGCCCTCCCAAAAGTATTATTTATTATTAGGAGAACATTTGATCAGACTTCCCTTTCTTACCTGCTGTCCTCTCTCCAAATGAGTCGTGTTGCTGCAGGAAATCTTTCAGCAGACTTAGTCTTACGAAAGACTTCTGCCCAAGGTACATTTGCTGTAACACGTCTTAACCCGTTTAGTGTCTTTTGAAATGTTGAGTTTATTACAAAATCTGAAGTAGAATCAAAAGTCTGACGGGGATGTTTAGTGTTAACTCTGACTTGTTCTCGGAAAATGGAGACACCTAGGTCACCGCGTTTTTAAAAATATTGTAAGGTTGTAGTGCCTTTTGATAATTTTGCCATTTTTCATGTCATTTTGACCATTTTTATTTTGTGGTAACAATTAGGGCTGAACAATATATCGTTTCACCATCGCATTTGCGATGTCTGCATACGCATTAGTCACATCCCAGGATGTGCAATATCATGTGACCTGGAGCGTGTCATGTTGCCTTTTTTGTGTTGCCTGATGAGGACCAAAACCAACCAGCGCTCTGGTTTCCATGACTTATCTACAATAAAAGTCAGTCTGATATCACCTTCACGAGTCAGAGAACTGACCGCTGTGCACGCAGAGTCTGTGTCCCCTGAATGGAAAAATGTATTGAGGCTACAGGCCACGCTGCTGCCTTCACAGATACCACGGCCCGACCCTCGAGGAAGACGCTCAATCACAAGTTTGAAAAGAGTGTATTCACGCACCTCATCCCTGTGCTTGTTAAGGCTGTAGGCGCATATAAGTTGATTTGGTGTGTTAAAGTCAGAGCCGGCCCTAACCATTTTGGTGCCCTAGGCAAGATTTCAGCCGTTGCCCCTTAAATTGCAGCCAGTTTGACCACTAATGTATTATATTCATCCACTTAAGAAAACTGGCTTACAGCTTTATATTTAACATCATTTCTTTATTTTAAAATAAAAAATACTTATCAACAAACATGAATAAAATGGTTAGAACTCTAAGATTTCTTATAAATAAACACAAAATAAAATAATTAAAATAATTCCTTGGGTTTCAAGAGGGTCCTCGCTCACTCTGTGAGTGCTCGGGCCCTAATAAATACAAATAACTAGTTTAAGAGAACAAACAATACCAAACAGTGCAGGGAGCAGAAGTGGTCATAGGCGGCCCGGGGACAGCAGGGGATGGTTTTAAATGTTTTAAAATGGCATCCGGAGAGAGATGAGCATTTGTTAAACAATCTGCATTTTATAATATAGTGTGAACACAAAATATTATTTTCTGTTCAGAGCAGTACAGAAACGTCAGCATAGTTTTTCAGGAGAGCCCAAACGTTTTCCTAACAACCAGACCTACAGCATGCACACATATCTATACAGAGAGGAACTCTAGCACAAAATGCATTAATGCTCTTAGACATCAATACTCTAAAGGCAAGAGCTTAAAACTATTAATGACAACAGGAGGTGGAAAATAAACATTTTAATCGACGAGGGTGAAAGCTAACTAAGTACACAAAGATGTCAATAAATATAAAAGTAGGTTTTGTTTCTCAAACAACATTGGAACAAAAGAAGAAGTGTATTACTTAACACTGGTTATTTTCTTAACATGAATAACCTTAACCTTATAAAAGTACAGTGGAAATAACTGATGTTAACCCGAATTAGGAAACACTGACATTACTGTCATCCATCCATAACGAGCTATCTTAACTACAACAGATAATTGATCTGTGCAGCACGTTACCTCTGTGTCTTTTTCACATTTTTCCTCCTCCTCTTCTGATTCGTCCCTGGGCTCCGGAGGGCTTTGTTGTTGTTTTTTTACATCATGGTCATTTATAAACGTGATATTAATTCGTCCGGTCAGTGTCACTCACTTCTAATAAGTCACCTGCCCTCCTCCTCCACAGCGAGCAGGTAACGAGCAGCTGTGTTGTGATGCGCCGGGTCAAGCAGGAGGCAAGAAAATAGAGCCTTTTTAAATATGTGAAGGAGCCTAGTTGTATTTTCATGGCTTATTTTGTATCATTACTAAATAAAAGCATGAAAATGATATTAGATAAATAATATTTAGTGATATTTAACCACATTTGTCCTTCTATTTCTTCTTCTTATCTTCAACTTTTCTGCCTCACCCATTTGGGGCGCCAGCAAATAGCACTTTGCCTATACTGCCTATGCCACAGGCCGGCCCTGGTTAAAGTAGCCGCTGATGGTTTACTTATAGGAGGTACACCAGCAGCGCACATGGTGAAGCGTTTTGTGTCCCAGGCAGCTCAAGACGGTGAGCTTCCATCTTTGAACGATGGATGGTTGGTGACGTTTAAGTATTTATGAAGTTTATGAAGAAATGTGTCGCTCCACCTCCCCCCCATCTACCCCATGTGTGTGTGTCAGAGCTGCTGTCAGAAGTGGAACGGGGTCTAGAGAGTGTTAGTTTGTCCAATATCCTTCATCCATAGTAACAAGTCAAAACTCTATCTTACATTTATACATCTTGTTTGTAGACGAGTACCTTTATTACTAGTATTAGATGTAGTAGAAAGACTAAGGTGAAACATGTTGCAATCTGAATCAGTGCTTGTCTTCACCTACTAAGTCGAGGTGCCCAAAGAAGTGCATTGTGGGAGCAGGGTGTGAGTGCATAGGAGGAAGCGGTGCCGCAGCGTCCAGGGGCCCATCTGGGCATTATGCGCATGAAGGCTCCGCCCCGTTGTAAGTTCCCGCTCCGTCTGTCGGAGCAGCTCGGAGACACCGCATGGCAGAAATCTGTTCCTCCCCTTTCACCGTGGGGTGCAGCTTAGGTGGGGACGGGCTTGTTCTTGTCTGTGCTTGCATTTTACTGTTTATTGCTTTGGGCCAGTAAGCATGAGTAATTTAGGGATTGCAAGGACTGTCTTCACATACTCCCTGCTAGTCCCAGCCCTGTGTGTGTGTGTGTGTGTGTGTGTGTGTGTGTGTGTGTGAGTACACACATTGGTCGCCTCTCTGCAATGAAGATCTCTAGTTTTTGAAAGTTTCTTCTTCCCCCTCCAGCGTCTCTGCAGAAGAAGCGGCTGGTTCCTTATTCAGCTGTCCCGGTGTCCTGCGCCCCCCCCCCCCTCGCTTCAGTCTCTATAATGTACTCTGTGACCTTGGTGAAAATGATCCAGTGGCAGATTGCTACATGCAAGGGGCACAGTGGCTATTATTTTGAGTCAGTGCCGTATAGACTGCCAATATTTCTTCCAAACAGGATGGGGGAGGTCAGCTGACCGAAATCAATCTCTGTTACATGCTTGACTATAACTCTTCAAAGCAGGTTCACGGCAAAGATATATTTTCTGAAATTATTTCAGTTGTTTTCCCATCTTTGCCGTCCCAGGTGCCCTTGATTTCCCCCCTCTTGTTTTGCAAATGGCTTAGAGGGAGAAGAAAGGGTAAGTAACTGAATGGGAAAAACATGCAAATTAAGTATGAAACAGTAGTTACATAAACAAGAGAGATTGGCGAATGGGAAACACTGCGGTTGGCTGATAAGGACGGTTGCTTCAGTGATAAAACATCCTCCTTTCATATTCTGGTCTGCGTGCATATCCTTCATGTAGATTGGTTTTTATCCCAAAATAAGACACGGGATCTAGTGACCCCCGCATCAATGCATGATGGGATTGATTGTAAATGGATGTTGTAGCTGCAGAGTAATAGTGTAAAAGGTCGTTTTAGGATCATTTTCTTTCACAGTGTTGTCAAAGAAAAGACCCGTTTTATTCATTTGTGCCTTTTGCAGTCTATCCCATCCTCTTCTTTCCTCCCATATGTTGCAGTGTAGATAGGCTGCTGGGGCCTCAACAGGATGTGCCTCCATCTTGCTCAAAGGAGATAATGCAGCCAGGGCCATAGTAGGTAGCCTTCTCCATAGCAACTGTTTCCGTTGCTAGGTTACAGTATGTATGGAATGCAGGGATGGCTTCAAAGTTGTTTCAGAGTCCAGACAGTTTTCCAAAACCTGAGCAGAGGAGGCTTTACATGTTTTTTAAGTGTGACAATACTTACCTCTCAGTGTTCTTAAAAATGGACCAGCGCCCATTAGCCTTGCCTCTTTCCTCCCCCCTCCCTCTGTTGCCCCACTCCTTCCTCCCCTACCCTCCTCCCATACAGCAGAGGGTAGTTGGCATCGGTATAAAGCTCCAGCCTCCTCCGACGACTCGTGCCTGACTCCCTGCCAACCTGTGTGAAGCGAAAAAGAGGAAGAGGGAGGGAAGAGGAAGAGAGAGAGAGAGAGAGAGAGAGAGAGAGAGGAGGGGAAGAGAGAGAGAATGGATTTTTTTTTTTTGGAAGGAAATAAACAGAGCAGCCTGGAAATCGACCTTTTCTGTTACCAGTTTTTGGCACCCAGGGATAGTACCTCTCCTGGTCCTCTGAGCGAGGGGGCAGCAGCGCTTGGACTTCAGCTTTGCTGGTGGGAAACACGGGACCACAGATACAATCGAAGGGTAACAAAGATCAAATACCCAGCGAAACATGTCAAACTTGATCGCTATGCAACAGATTGATGGTAGCCCAGGATGCAAGCAATGTGGCAAAGCGCCGGGTCCGATGTTTTGGTTCTGGTCCAGCCGCCTACAACCAACCAAGCTAGAAAAGCAACAAAAGGTGACCAAAGTTTTTCCGCCTTAGCCCCGCCGCCGTTGTACTGTTCTTTTCAGATATCCTCAAAAACAAAGGTGCACAAAAGAAATTACGCCCATATCTCATCCAAGTTGGTAAAAAAAAATCCTTTTCATGACTCCTTCCCCCATATTCAGCCCGTTTTCTTCTTTTGTAAGCTCAGTCAGTCACCCACCACCCTGCTTGTGTTTTTGTCGTCCTCTGTTCATTCTTTTGCTGGCGTAGTGAGGCAGCATAGTGAGGGTATTCAGCCAGTTCTTTCTCTGTGCCTGTGTGTGTTAAGGTGGGGTATGTCTGGCAGAATGGGGTGTGGGGCGCTGGGATGGCAGGGAGGGGTGGGGGTGAGGGTGGGGGGGGGGGGGTTAGGCACAGTGAAAGGAGCCCAGCCTGGCACCACCTGGACCTGTGCCAGCCAACACACAGCAGAGGTTAGTGTGTGAGGGACTGTGCGTCCGAGTGAGTGCAGGCGGGCGTGCACATGTTTGTATGGGAGAGTGAAGGATGATGGGAAGGTGGTGTGAGGAGTACAGTGTGAAGTGAAGATGGAGAGCGGAGGGGGGGGGGGGGTTGGCTCACAGTCGGATTCTCTGGACAGCGCTGTGTCGGCATGTTCTTGGCTGTCTTCATTTTACTTCTCTTTTGTTTATGTGTTTGTGTGTTTGTTTTCCCTTTCTTCTCCCTCTTGGATGAAGGGATCGGTCACTTTTAAATGGGGGCCCAAAAGGCAAGGTGGTCTGATGACCAGAAGAATCCTTCACTGCCTTTTCTGCTCTCCTTCATCTGTTGCTTCTCACTGACTATTTACTCCTTTTATTGTTTTGGCAGGCTGATCTCTCCTCCCACTCCTCCTCCTCCTCTATCGCACACTTGTCTCCCTCTCACTCTCTCAATTTCTCTCCTTCATTTGGCAACTTCACTGCTTTTTATCTCTCTGGCCAGAGAGGCAGAACAAGAGGGGTGAGAGAGTTTGCAAAAGATGAAGACAAGAACACATTTTGCAGGCGATGAAGGAAGATTTTCTCAATCCTTATACCACTTTAAGTCACTGTGGAATATTTAACCAGCCCAGCCACTGATCCAAATCCACTCTGATTGTAGCTAACTGTGCCAGTGAACATGACCTGACAGAGCCAAACAACCTGCTGCTTAAAGACAGAACTGTCGCACAACAGGAGGGCGGAAAGGGACTGCCTGAAGGCTGCGAGGGCCTCGGTGACATTTTCGGGGTCTTTTGCAATCTGTTACTGCACACAAAAATAAAAGAAGTTTAGCTTGTTTCAGAAAGTGCTCTTGAGGTTGCACAGCAAGGAAAGTGCTATCAGGTCAAGTGCCTCTTCTGCTTCTTACAGTGCAGTCTATACCTTTTAACTCCTGATACTGATTCTAATACCTGACCATTTATAGGCTTTTACTGAGTGCCTCGTCTTCACACGTGGAATACATTCATTTATTTATTTATTTATTTCAATATTTTGGTGGGAAAACCCTGATTGTTGCCATTCTACCAGCTTTGACTTGCATTACTTTGAACTGCACATTTGTTTTTTATAGTCACATGAAAAGTTGAGTTTTTGACAGCTGTTAAATTATGGTATGATTGGGGTATGCACTGTTGACTGGCTGGTTCCTGCAGACCGGTATTGGATACCCATATCAGAAGATATCCAATACCAATAATAGTATCAGATACTGATAGGCGGTGGTGTAGTACAGTGTTTATGCAGGTATACGGCTTATACCTTTTTATTTTGTAGTCTTCATTGTGAATACCAATTTCCTAACCCCCTCTCATTCGTATCATTCAGTAGTATGCTGCAAAAAAACAATTCATAGTATGGCAAAGGCGTGGTCCGCCCTACTCTAATCTCTAATAGGTTGGTACTCATTGGTCCCTTGGTTGGTTGGGTAAAAATATCAAGGTAAGCCAATCAGAGGTGGAGTAAGACAGGTCATACTCAAATAGAAAAGAGCTGCCTGCGCTCTGCCTGCCTTAACTGGCTGATAATAACGTGAACAAAATATGGCCACCCCTCTCTGGTAATGAAATAAATGAAGGTTGGAAGGACAGATGAAGTGATCACCTCTAAATTAAATTTGCTTTGATGTGGTTGTAAATACTTCCTCGACGTAACGGCAGTCCCTGTCCTCTCCGCCATCTCAGCCTGAGCTCCACATGCACACTGACCAGATCATAGGATTAAGACTGAAACAGATATTCTTGTTTTTTTGTGAGCAGGGAATACATCTGATTAGCAGGCAGATTGCTTATTGGAAAATCTAACTAAATAAATGATTACTTGAATTGAAAGTAGTTCACTACTACTACTACTTGAAAGAGCTGTGTTACTCGATTATACAGAAAAAAAAAGTACATCAGCGGGTTACTTTGGGACACATCACCCTAAACATTGCTATGGAATAAGGAATAGAAATATAGTCTGTGAGCCGGTATTGACTGTAAAATCTGCACCTCTTCTTTGGCGAATGTGGATTTCATAGTGATCCTAACTTCCATCAAGTCGAGAAAAAGTAGTTGAGTGACAATGTGATAACTCTACAGGCCCATTTTTAGAAGAACAAAACGTGCAGGAGTAGGTTTTCATGTCACTGATCGTAACACAGGGACTTTTTCCTGTGTTGGATGGGCTTAAATTCAGAGTATTCTGAACTTCTCCACCCGTTCACCCGTTCTGGTTCTTTAGGAACCAAGCCAGGCACTATTTCATTTCAATATTGTGGTCCAATTATCTTTTACAGTTTTCACTCAATGTTCCAAATCATAGATCCACAAATGTAACAAGAACAGCACTTTTAGATTTTCTTTTAGATTCTCGTCAGTGTCACGCATCACTTTGCTTACAGCCAGAGAGCATTTACACGCTGAACTTAGAGCAAGCATCCATTAACGGTACGTGCCTAAGCCCTTAGTGTGCCCTGTGGCCTGTTTATCTGTCGACTAATATTAGTGGTTGCAGTACAAACCAGCCTTGCTTAGTGGAGATTTGCACGCTAAGTCACCTCAGTCTTCTTAAACCCTAATCCTCCTCACACATCTGTGGGGATACACATACACACATACACTTCCTTTTTAGCGCTCTAATTCCACGCAGCTAAGTTGGCAGTAGAGTGCCATCCCACCCCCCACCCCCTTCCTCACCTCTCAGTACTCCAGTTTATTTTACTTATGGATTTTTTTTTTTTTTTAAACCAAGCAGAAGATTAAGCTTGTTCTTGAGGTTATACAGGGTGTGGGTCTTCAGTTGTTTGCTTTTAGCGGTGCCAAGCCTTGTGCTTAATATACTCGCATTCAAAGACGAGCAGTAGGTTTAGAAGAGAGATCAGAAAATAACTGTGTGGCTGTGTTTAATTGTGGGTATTGAGAAGAGGACAGCAGGGAGAGAATGGCGGTCAAGCCGTGTAATCTCTTAAATGTCTTCCAGTGCTGAAGCCTCTGCCTCTGATCCGCTGGCCCGGGTCAGCCTGTAACGACCTGTAGACCTGTGAGGCCTAGCCGAGGCCGCTAATGGGCCCTTCTTTTCTTACATACTGTAATTTCTGAACACTATGTTATGATCATATTTCACATTTGTACACTGTTTCCCTTCACAGACAAGCATGCAGTCAATGGGAATCCCACCATAGAGCCTTTTCCAGACGGCATGGACACCATCATGTTTGGTGAGACTGCACAATCACACATTTTTGGAATCCGATTCAGCCCAATATGTATTTCTGTTTTAGCAGTTTGTGGTTACTGACACATTTTGGAGAAGTGTTTGCCCTCTCTGTGACTGCTATAATAGCTCAGAAGCAGTAATGCTGCACGTGTTTATCTGTGTGTTTTGCATGCTGTCTCTTATTTGCAGGCATGGGCTGTTTCTGGGGAGTGGAGAAACTTTTCTGGACGCTTCCAGGAGTCTTCTCCACACAGGTGGGCTACGCTGGAGGCTTCACACCAAACCCCTCTTACGAAGAAGTCTGCACAGGTAAACGCACTCCCTCTTCTCTTTGATATATTTTACATGATTGTGCCCGTCCCTGTGCAGAGGTTGAAGCGGGGCTGGCAGGACATTTCTCCGTCAGATATCAGATCTCGGGTTCATGAGACCAAAAAAGGAGCAAAGGGAGGAAGAAAAAGATGCGTCTTTTTGGGAGAGGGCGTTTTAAGTACAGCGCTCACACATCCTCTCGCCGTCTTCCCCTTCATCTGCAGTCAACTACTCAGAATGCACTGCTCCAGATGGGCTGCACCCCCCCCCCCCCCCCCACATCCCCGCCCCCCCATGACCTACTTGTAAGGATTGGGCTCTGTACTGTGCTGTACTGCGGCGTTTTTTTGCAAACAGAGGTTACCGTGTATGAAGCGGCACAAATTTGCAGATGATTACGCAAACATGATTTTGCCGATAAAAAGCTTGAAATTCGTTGCAATTTCTGTGAAAGCCCCCGTCTACTTCCAAATGTATTTCTTTTTGCATCAAATATATTGATGTAGGGTATTAGTGCATAATTCCAATGAAGCAGTCGAGTTCGTCTTGTACTCCTCTCCCGTGTTTTGGGAGTCGTGAGCTGTTCGTTTTTTTGGATTTTTTTTTCTTTTGAAAGGAGTGTCAGTACAGGCACGCATGGAGTCTAGGTGCAGGAACAGCACTGGGGATATGGAGTGGAGGGGGGGAAAGTGTTTGGGTTTTGTTGGCAGACTTTCTGAGTAGAGCCCCTTAAAGGGATTTTATGTTTCCTATGCGTCTCCAAGTCTCTCTTTCTGTTAGCTTCCCAGCAAGCACGACGGTCAGCTATAAGAGGAGGATGGAGTTGGAGACAGATGACAGAAAATGAGAAGATTGAAAGCCGAAGCAAGGGAGGGGAAACGACAAAAATAAACTTTTCTAGGAGAAAGAAAAATTGTAGGGAGAAAAAAAAAAAAAAGTGTGAGAACGGTTGCCTGTCCATCGGCTGAGAGAGTGCAGGCGTCGCTCCAGTGGCCATGACGGAGCAGAACACTGCGACGGCATGAGACCGAGGAGCTGTCAACACAGCCAGGGCACGACAGACGGCTGGATGGACTGACGGACGGACAGGAAGAAGGGGATGATTGAATTGTCAGCCGAGCCAGAGAAGGATGGAAGGACAGGCAGATAGGTGGATGCACTGACAGACAGACAGACAGATATGTGGGAGAGGCCGAGGTGCCGTCAAATCAGTTTTGACACGACACATGATACAGACACTGAGAGATTGACAGAAGATGTTGTTATCAATCGGCATATTTAAGCTTGACTAATTCACGCTGTAGTCTTATTTGTGATGCATTTGCAGAACAGAATCAAGAGCTGAAGCAGTGACCTTTTGTACTTTGCTCTACAGTGTTGCATGGGATTCAACAATCCTCATCCTGAAAATGAGGTTTAAAGATGTTAGCGGCTTACAAAATGACCCGTATGATTGTTTCCAAAAGATGCAAAACAAGGACAGTTTGACAAAAAGAACAAAACTGACTGGTGATTTAAGAGGTTATTGCATCCATACTGCTGAAGTGTCGGGACAGCATCACCTTTTAGCCCCTCTCGTGGGACTCGGGGGTAAATTCATGATTTTGATCGTCACATTTCAGCCAGTTTTGCAGCTGATTTTCAGGTTCTGCTTCTTGCCAGTCTTTTTTTTTTTTTTTTTTGAAGATTTATTTTATGACTTTATTGGGGAGATAGGAAAGCGGTTAGAGTCGGAAATCAGGGATAAAGAGAGAGAGTGGGAAAGTAGCCAAAAGTTGGATTCTAACCTGGGCTATCCACTTGGAGGACCTCTATACATGAGACCTGCGCACCAACCACTAGGCCACCAGCGCCCCTTCCTGCCATTCTTGTTGGCTTTTTCCACCTTGTGTGCGTGCCTACAGCCCAACTCACTGCTGACTGTGGCCAAAGCCAAATGTTTGCACTCGCTGACATAGTAGACCCCGTGAATCACAAAAAGAAGTGAAGAGAATGATCATCTGTTGATTGAGAGCTCAAGTAAGTGTTAGGTTTTATATTTTTGCACATTCATCACCTCCCCTGCACATGCATCCACATTGAAGTGTCCTTTTTAATATAACTCCCTTTTATACATCATAAAAAGATGCAGACAGACACTGATCCTCTAATATTTTCTCACTAGAAGTCAAGTCTATTATTAAAGGCAGCTACGGTACACACAGGGTATCCATCAGATTTTCATGAAACACTGTTAGTGACCATGTGAAAGTATGCCTAACAACTGTTTGAACAGGTGAAGTCCTCCATGTTCATTTGGCATGAGAGGAGCCTGTGGGCTTCATTCAGAGACAAAGCGGGTCTTTGGCCAGATGCATACATTTGGCAGCCCCTCTGCTATTGTCTGCAATGCACGTCATGCATCATGTGTGTGTATGTGCATGACAAAGAGAAGGGCTACTATTGATACAATCCTAAACTAACAACACCTCTGTATTTATATTTAACAAATGCACATGTTTTCATTGAAGTGTGTGAGTGTTGTTCTTTTCTTGTGTGTGTGTGTGTGTGTGTATGCATGTACTAGCATGTGGGACCCAAAGCATGCCCAAGTTTAAGAATGCCTGCAGGCAGCATGTTGAAGCTTTGGGGTCCTGGCAGCTGCAGACAGTAGCAGGTGTCTGTGCTTTTGGCAACTTGCACCATAAGCTCCATCCTTTACTGTGCCATCTCTCTCTCTCTTTCTCTCTCTCTCTCTCTCTTTATCACTACCTCTCTCTTTCACTCTCACACATTATCTCTCTCTGTCACTCTCTCTCTCTTTCTACCATTGTGCCACAAGCAATAACAAAGCTCTGTGTGGATTCAACCTGAGTGTCTTCTACTCCTGGTACATGAACTCAGTGACATATTCACAAGGAGGCTATTCATAATCCTTCTTTTCTCTCCTATTTTCATTTTACTCGTTGAAAAGACACACAGACATCATGAAGGTTTACTGTAGCACACAATTTATAGGTTTGAGGAGGGGGGTTAGCTAGAACATTATACACATTAATCTTTATTGATGCCTCTTTGTTTCTTTTTCAAGGTCTGACCGGGCACACCGAGGTGGTGAGGGTGGTCTTCTCCACAGCAAACATCAGCCTTGAGGATCTGCTCAAAAGCTTCTGGGAGAACCATGATCCTACACAAGGTAGCAACAAGCACGCACACATATATCCACACACACAGAACCCAAAAAGTTGCCCTCAAATAAGACCTGTCCCAAAGGGCACAGGGTGTATTAGAGCAGAAGGATGATGCCCAGACGTGTGCCTGCGTGTGCGTTGTGGAGGTGGTATTGGGGGGGGGGGGGCTGGTCTCATGGGTGTAAGTCAACGCCAGACAGTGTTAATGTGTCTGAGATCCAGCCATCCATGGAGAGACACACTAGTGTGGTGTATGTTCAAGCCCTAAAACTCTTGCGGCGTTGGAGCATGTGCATGGCGTCTTCATCCAATGTCAACCAGGCCTTTTGTTATTTACTTCAAATATCAGCTCCTGGATGATCCTTAATCTTTTCTGGGTTGAACAATGTGAGTGTATTTTTGTCTTTATCATGCAAAGCGCATGCCATCACTGGTTTTATCGCTTCACGGCAATTTTTGAAGTTGTAAATCTTTGCTTTCAAGGTGCAACATTTACCACAAAATAATTCCACAGTGTTATATATCAGTTACATTTTTTACTCCCGCTCTTTATATGCGACATATGTTCAGCTTCATAGCATTTGAATCCTGCTCCCTTACCTCTCCTCTTTTAATGACATGTCTCTTCCCAGCCAGCCTCTTAACTCTCCCCCCCCTCTCAACCCAGCAGCGACAAGAACCCCATCCCCCCATAACTCATCACTCCATCTCTTCCAGTCTTTTTTTTTGCTCTCTTGTTCTCTGTGCTCACTGGAGGAGGTGATGTAAGAACATTAATGCACCGGGAGGGCACAGGGAGGATGTGTGTGTGTATGTGTGTGTGTGTGTGTGTGTGTGTGTGTGAGGGAGAGAGAGAGGACAGGCAAAGAGGTACTCTGCTCACTCATATTGAATGTAGGGAGGGGGGGCATGACAAGTTGGGAAGAGATGGATCAAAGATTCATGGGCTTGGACTTCAGTCTTCTAAAAGACACACACACACACTCGGTGACATCACCCATATCATCTCTTTAGCATCTGTCACACTAAGATAGTAGCCATGGGTGTACATTTACAAAAAAAAAACAGCAGATCAGCTGTTTGTTTCTGATTTGTCTTCACTGTCCACCTCACCAGGAGCACAATCCAAAAGACCCTGACTGTCCTGAGGTTCGTCCAAGAACCATCAGATGCGGTTCTACCCCTGTTCTCCGTAGTCGAGGGCAGAGACACGTCTCACTACGGGCAAAGGCACAAGCAGAGTGGAGCCGACCCGCCACAGGGCAAAGGCACTGAGTCCAAAGGAGTAGTCATGCATTTCCCCTGACTCACCGCCCTGTCTCATCTTATGTATTATTAATAGCATGCAGCTCATTGACTATGCACTCCGCTACTTGTTTTTTCTTTTTTTTATGGTCACAGTTAAGTCCAGGCGACATATACAGAAAAAAAAAAAACCCACAAACTCAGATATACATTTTTCTCTTGCTTCTTCCAAATGTGACTTTCCTGTGAATCCGTGCGTTTCTTTTCCACCGGTGCTCGCTTCACGTGTAGCAGAAAAACTCCTCTGATTTGACAAATGTGGCGTGGAGCGGTGGAAAGGGGGCCCGTTGGCTGTGCCTTCACGCATGCTTAAGCTCCAATTTATTCTGTCCACCTTTAGAGCGGGGCTTAAAAGAGAATGGAGAAATTAGGGAAGTTTGCTCTTTTCCCTTTCAACTGAGCAGAGTCACCAGAGATCATCATTTATGTAGACGAGCCCGGGAACATTAGGAATTCTGTTTTCCTCCTGACGTGATCAACACACATCCTGGTTTATATTTATATGCGCTCAATGTGCATGTGGAACTATCATGTACAGATGCATATTCAGTTTCATGCAATGCTTTCTTTTAATATGTGTATGTGGGTGTGCATCTGCAAGTGTGCGTGCACATATGTGTGTGTGTGTGTGTGTGTGTGTGTGTGTGTGTTTTGAGATCTGTGCCTCTCTGCTTTTCCTCAGTTCAAAAGGGTTTAGTCCCGACAACGTGATGTCGGGCTGCGTCAGCTCCACCAATCCCAGCCTGGATAGCAACATTAGCAGCCAATCAGAAACTCCCAGCAGCCTTTGCTGTGTGCCCTCTTTCCATATTCAGCAATGCTAGTCTCAATCTGCTGGCTTCCTTGGGATGTTGCATAAAGACCCTCCATTCAACGCTCTCCCCAAAATTATAAGTTCCTTACAGCTGCGTTAAAGTAACTCTTCGGTAACATACCTCGAAGCGTGTGTGTGTGTTCGTGCGTGTGTGTGTGTGTGTGTGTGTGTGTGTGTGTGGAAACACTTGAGCACAGAAGAACTCTCAGCAGTCAAAGGGACATCTGCATGTCAGAGGGCAACAGCAGCTCTTGTTTCATCGTCAGGGCTTAAAAAGAAAAAAACAATATGATGTATTTAGAACGCTCACTCTTGATTTGCAAACACAACTCGCTGTTCTTTCACACACTGCAGATCAATTGCGCCCACATTTCCATACACAAGCATACTGTTCACTTCACATTATGCCCAAGTGCTCATCATGCCTACTCAAAGCGCTGCTTTAGTCCATTTGTGCGTACATGCAGATGAGCTGAACACACGCGTGCACCGGGCATGGAGAGGATGCACACAGCGTCACCAATGGCACGTTAGATCCCTGCTACAAAATGCAGGCCCAGTTCCTTCCCCGTATCCCCCATCCTCTTGTGTCCTGGTGGAGGATAGAAGCATCATATGTGGCCACTTTTACAACTCAGTTTCCTCCCTTTGTTGCCCATCAATCCCCTTTTTGCTCCTCAACTAATTTGAAATACGGTTACATCAGCTCTTCTTCTTTTTTTGTGATTTGCCGTCTTCCTCTTTCAGTCTTTCCCCAAAATAGTTTTTTCCACATTATTTCAGTTTCCCTGATGACTCCCAATAAACCGTCTTCCCAACCTCAACTGTCTCACCTGCATCCCATCAACCCCTGTCCTCTTAGCAGGCGAGTGGCAGGGGAGAGAGAGCAAGCTAACGGCCCGGAGCCTCTCTTGCACATCCGCAGAGCAGCACAGTGAGTCGACCGCTCCCTGAGGCCATCCGCTCATCGCACAAACGCACTCGCATCCACTCGCTCCACTTTTATCTCTTAGTCACTCTCTCTTCCCTGCACCTCACCCTACCCCCCCCTTTCCCCTTCCTCCCATCTCTTCCTTGTCTTCCCTTCCTCCTTCCTCCCCTCCGCCGCCCTTCCTCTTAACAAACCGAGGCTTTTTTTCCCCCTTCCTCTTTGTTTCCTCGCACTCTTATTCCTCTCCTCTTCCCTTGTTACCTCCATCCTCACTGTTTTGAGGCCGTGCAGTTTTCACGGTGTGGGTTGCTGATGCTGCGTCAGTGAAGAGGCATCACATGTATACACAGATAGACACAAACGCTCAGATACAAAGCTGTGTTCATTTAGTGACTTCTCACATGCACGCCCACCCATGTAGGTATAAATGTAGGTGTACATGTTGGTGGAAAATATTCACAAGTCATTTAAAAGTCAGGGAAAGTTGCCCTTTTTGTTTTTAGATGCAACATATAATGTATTCTCTGTCTAATTATATGGAGTTTAAAAACTGCTTATCACACAAACACACATGCGTATATATATGTAGAGTGAGAGATTTAATTTCAGATCCCAAAATAGACAAAACTCCATCCATCTTCCACCTGCCAAGTCATGCTGTTTGCGGTTACTTTCTTCAATTAAATTGAGCATGATTATTCCTTTTTCAAATCCCCACCCCAGCTGGCTGCGACACACGTCAATTCCCTGATGGGGTACCCCCAGGTTCCCCCTCTGTGTCAGCACATCCCTCACTTTAGTGACGCTAAAGCCCAAAAACCCTCCCAGGAGGTGACCTTGACCTCTGATCTGTGACCTCTGCCACCCCCCACACTCCTAACCAAACCCCTTCCCTCTGCACTGGTTGGCTGCAAAAGGCTTGCTCATTACCAGGTGTCACTTATTACACCCTTCCACACACTGATGGCCCTAATTTATGGAGATTGCGGCACGTGTGAGACGCTGTGGGGGTTGAGTTTTGTGTGTCATTTAGATTACGTCGACCGTATATATTATATAACCCATCGGTCTTATTTTACAAGTCTTTCTGCTTTCTTTAGACACAACTCAGCATGTTTTGTGCACTTTAGTTTTCTCCTCCACCTTGCTTGGAAATAGATTTACGAGCACAGATATGAACGTCATTGGAACGCACAGCGTTAAGAAATATACCAAGTTTCAGACTATTGAAATTCATTTCTGAGCATTTGGAAAATTGGGTTACCATCACAATAAATGACCAGTATAAAAATGACCTTTGCTCTGTAATAAAATGTGCAACACAAACTTAAAGATGCATTAACTACATGGAAGTACAACTCACCCCTGACTTAACTCCTGACATAAAATCCAAGAAATTATTTGTAATATCGTTACAGAATTTGAAGCATTGATCATCAGATTTGTGTTTAAAATAATGTTGAACTCTTTCCTGAAATCAAAGAGTGATATATAAGGTTATGATTGAAGTGTTCCACACATATTTTCACCATCAGCTGATGTGAATGAGATGAGAATTTAAGTATTTCTCGGACAAATATTCTCACATTTGATTGCAGATTTAAATGCAGGGAAATACAAACACTCTCTCGCCACTATTTGAGCTGAACCGTAGAACGAGCTCTTCTCGTTCGATTTAGACGCAGCTAAAAATAAACATGGTAAGGGCCAGAAACCCAGTGCTCTGACAACATGCCCAAAAACCATGAAGTGATCATGTTAGAGAGCACCGCTCCTGTGGAGGAAATAAAACGGGAGATAAAGCTGTTTTTTGTTTGGTTTTTTTTTTGAGATGATGATAGTTACTGCAGTAATCTAACTGATGTGCATGTATACCTTACAGTCATACATGCACACACGCACACGCACACACGTGCACAGTGCTGTTGCCAAGGCACACACCATTCTGCTGTTGG